CTTCTAGAGCATAACATAATACTTGTATGGTGCAGCAAAGAGTCATAGTGATTAGAGTGTATATGTGACAACAATGACTTTACAACAACTGGATATTTTAGTAAACTAACAAACAGACAAGGCTGCAAGTACTCAGAGAGGCTGCACACAAGAACCACCGTAACACTGAAAGGAAAATGAGCTGCAGGAACTACGTTCTGGTTGGGTTCTACATGTGACAGCAATCTCTTGTGTTGTCCATATGTCTGGATGAAGGAGTACGATTACAAAACACAATCGTTTGCTTCTGGTGGAAACATCCTGGACCAGCTGAAATCTGCCAAGAACGTTTTGGAGAATGAGTTAAACATTTTGGTCTTAAAAGTAGCAAATTTGAACATTTGTGCCATAATTCTAAAAGGCATGTTTGCTACAAAAAAAAAGAAGAAAAAAAAAACAAAGCACCAGACATCAGCAAAACCATGCCATAACGACAGGGAAACAGTGGTGGCAGCATCATGTCGTGGAGTCACTTTTCTTTAGATGAATGGAGTCACTCTATCAGTGTCGGTCTGAAACTTTTAGATATATACTAAGAAGCTGAACATGGAGAGGGGTTTTACGTTTCAGCATCATCCAGTCCAAACATGCATCCAGATTAACCAAAAAAAAAAAAGACTTCAGCAGAAGAAAAATAAATTCTGGAATAGCCTAGCAACTCCAGAACTAAATATGACCTAAAACAATCTTTGGGTAACCTGATGGGGGGCTGTGGATACGAGATGCTGACACAGCTGGAGAATTCAGACATTGTCGAGTGGACAAATATGACCAAGCAAGGACGTGAAATACAAACGACTCCTGAAAGAGGAGATTGAATGTGAAATATAAATCAAAACGTCCTTAAGAATTAGTTTGAAAATGTGCACACTCTCTCTGCGCCTTCCCCTACCCCCAACAGACCTGTTTGTATTTCTGTTCAATAAAGGTAAAGCACTTTTTGAACAATTTGTCAGTATTGTTTCTTAAGTCACAAAAGTCTTTACATGACTGCTTCACTTTTAAATCCACTTTAAAAACGCACTTCATGTATTTTACTGCTACTTGACCTATGGAGCTGTTTAGGTTCATGGCAGTAAGTGTGCAAAAGGAAAAGGGCGCTTTGTGAGTCCTGGCAGACAAGCGACATTTTCACATACGAGTCCAGCGTTTTGCTGAGAAAGGTGGAACAGCTGTGTCAATGCCAGGATTTTTCCCTTGTTTTGCTGCACTTCTTGTTTGCAGAGAACTGCATCCAAACTCTGGAGAATCATATTATTATAAGACGGCTCAAATATTTATAGACTTGCAATAAACAGTTTACTCACCGTTGTCATCTTGGATCCGAAGCACAAAGTAACGGCTTGAGTCACTGACTGTTTCCACTGCAATGCCAGGGTACTCCTCCACTGGTGCTTGGGCAAACAGCTCCCCTGCAGGGTCAAAAAGAAAACATGTGAAGCTCAGCTCAAAGACCTTCATGGGAAAATGAAATACAAACAAAAGGAGACAGATTTAGTGCCTTGGAAGAGTGTTCAAACACCTTTGAACCATTTCATATTGTATCCTATTAAAACCACAGCCTCGCAGTCTTTTATTGGGTTTTTATGTGACAGAACAAAGTAGTGCATGATTGTGAGGTAGAAGTGAAAGAAGTCCTATTTCGGCTAAGTTTGACTCAGCTGTGTAGGAGAGAAAATATGCTCTGGTGAGAAAAGGCCAAAAGTAAACTGTTTGGTCAAATTGAAAACATTTCCCTGGAAACATCATCCCCACATTAAAATATGGTGACAATATCACGCCGTGGGGATGCTTTTCTTCTGAGTGTACAAGGAAACAGGTCAAAGTTGATGGAAAACCGTTGACGGTGAAGAAGACGGATGGACAGGGTGACCCGGCAAGAAAACTCATTACAGGCTACAAATGAATCGAGCCTGAGAAGAGAACAACCCTACACATTCAGCCAGTGCTACAAAGGATTGGTTGAAATCAAAACAAAATCATGTGATAGAATGGTCCAGTCAAAGGCCAGACCCTAGCATTTTCTATTTAGACTTGAACAACTTGTTGTTTCTAAATGAATATTAGAAACATTATTTGCATTATTTGAGGTATGAAAGCACTGCATCTTTTTTCTTATTTTGACCATTCCTTATTTTCTGCAAACAAACACGAAATCTTTGCTTGGAATTTCAGAGACATGTCAGTAGTTGATAGAACAAAAGAACAATGTTAATTTTACTCAAACATATAACTATCAAAAGTAAATTCAGATAAACTAATCATTTTGCACCAATAAATGAGTTGGCGAATAAAATTAACCTGATTTTCTTCATTTCGGGCGTTCAGCCAATACATGTGATACCAATTTTACTGATCTCTGCAAATGCCTGAAAAACCTCTCCTTATGCCCTGCCATGAACAAAGGCTGACTGCCAGACCCGGCCGCCAGGTCACATCTGCACTTACATGGTTAACAATAGTCACCGTTGCCAACTTAGCGACTATGTCGCTAGAATATTTAGAATGTTTATTTCCTGTTTGTTTCCAGACAAAAAAAATAGGTATTGGCCAAAGTCGGAACTGGCAGGTCAGGCTTTTTAAAGGTCAGTCATCGGCCAGAAAACTGCAATCGGTACTAGAAAATGAATAAAACCATGTACCCTTTTCATTCTGCTTTACAATTACGATCTACTGAATGTCAAAGTATCACGTGAAAGTCCAAGAAATTACGCTGAATGTTGTAGGTGCAACATTACAAAATGGAAAAGCTTCGAGGTATATGAATACCTTTTCATAGCATTGTAAATATCAGATTTTTTTTTTATTTCGGCGTAAACAGCTCACTTGGGCACAAAGCCGGGTAACCTTGGATATGATGAGTAACCGACAGCAAGTGGTGAAGCAGAAGACTATACATAGAGAAGTGATTTGCAGCTGTGGCAGTGAACCGCAGCACTGTCCTGTCTGCTTTTCTTTTCTCACCGGACACTTTGTCCTCCAATTTCACGTAGGCTACTTTGCCTCGAGCCGTCACACGCATGCGTCCCGTCCAGTCAGGAGCATCCAGCTTCCAATCAGCAGCCCTGACACACAGGGAGTCAATAAGATGCAGGTAGGCACAGATTATTATGATTCATCCCAGTTACAGCATCCATATATTTTCTGAGTAAGCCACGCATCAGACAGACTTTTTTTTTTGTTTTTCTTTGACACTGGCTAAAATATTACATACACAGGCTTAGTCACTGTGGTCACTCATGAGTTTCTCATTGGACTCAGACGTATACTAACGTTTGCAAGGAGTGATGAGACTCTGAAGAAGCTGTTTGGGCTTTGGCTCACATCCCAGTAAATTAAATGAGAGGTAAATAACTCAGTCAGACCTTTAGCATAATGCATTATGGCCACGTTGTTTCAGTTGCTGCATCCAAACTTGACACGTCGGCATTAGGTGTCCTTGAGTCAGACTAGTGTCTAAGATGCTGTACTTAAAAGGCCACAAAGGTTAAATTAGAGCCAATCACAAAATTAAACGTTAACATTTTTTTCCACCAATGCTATCAGCTCCGTTATTTCAATTAAGAACACAAACCAGCCACAGTTGATAAGATAAGAGTCTTCCCATCTTCGGTTTTATTCGGTTATGACCTTGTGAACATATAACAACAGCAAAAAACAACCAGCACACCAACTATGACCTCCATAATAATCCCGTCAGGCTGTTGAAACTACGACAACGCCTCACGGAAACCGCCGACTGACGCCCGGTCTGAAGCTCTCCCTCCCCCCGCCCGGCCTCACCTGACGGCCCGGTTCGATGCTCTTGGAGGGATGCGGTAAACGTTCACTTCGGGTTTGACACACAGAATCGACTCATACTCGAGCTGACCCTCGGACGCCATCTTGACTGCTACACAGTTGGCCGGTGGTGGTTGTTGTTGTGGTGACGGCGGTTGTCCGTTCAGCGTTAACGGCGGCGTAACCGTAATTCAACGTCCAGCTGCGCACGGACCTTTGAAGAGACGCTGCGCGACTTCTACCGTAGTACAGGCGAGGATTGCAAAAAAAAAACCCTGACTTATAGGAACATTAGTAAAGATTTTAATAATCACATGAAGAGAAAGGAACGGGAAGAATTGCAAAGCAAATAGACTTTTAAAACAATATTTTTTTTTTTTTTTATTGGAATGCTGCAGAAAACAATATTGTTTTCAGTCCTGATTTACAGAAGCCAATCTGAGGTTTTCAGAAAACTTTCCTGTTTATTTCTTGTTTTTTGTCATTTAAGTTTATTTGAAACTTAAATGTTTCAAATAACTTTTATGTAGGCTATAAAAAAGATAACCAGGGTAGACACAACGTGCTGTTTTAAAATTCTAATACATTTTTTAAGGTTACATGACTTTTGCAAAAAAAAAAAGAAAAAAAAGTGCCCCTGAACCTCATAACTGGATGTACCACCAGTTATCTGTAGAGCTGAATGACTGAATGCTGATGAAATCCAATGAAACCAACTTCGTATTCTGGCTGGTGAAAACAATGTGAAGATTACAAAATGTTGCGTGTTGGTATTTTACCCTCTGTTTATATAAAATCTGCAAACCCATCTTTGAATCTTCATGAAGAATATCTCAGCTTCATTGTATCTTTAGCATATCTCCATTGTAATTTCTATTATCAGATTGTTGAATTATCCTGCACAGAATAGTGTGTAAAATATTAGGTGCAATTAACAAGAACAAACTATGATCAATATAAATGCACAGCAGTAACCCACACAACTGTATGTTTTTGTTTATTTTATTTTCACATTTTCATTTTGCCACAGGAACAGCAAGCAGAAGCTCCCTAATATTGGCCTTGCTACAGCTTTAAAGCATTTTTTCTCAGTTTTGCAGTTTTCTGTAGTGATAGACAACATCTAATTCTCTCTTTTGTAATGGGATAATAATGCGTAATGGGAGCACCAGAGGGAGTCAGGAAAATATTTCACAGTCCAAGAAGCCTGAAGGCATCTCTTAAATCTTCTGTCTCACATGGCTAAGAGAGAAGAACAGAACATTATGATTAGTTTAAAGTTCATTTTTGGATTTGTGAATCACAGACATTGTGTGTTAAAAATTGAACCTGAAGAATGCGGTTGAGTTTCCTTGACAGCCGGATATAGTTTTGGTGCAGCCCATCCCACGGCTTGAACTTGCTTTGACTTTTTGCCACAAAGGTCTGCCAGCAATAAAAGTAATCTGAGGGAGATTTACAACAAAAATAATCAATTTAATAAAAATCAAGGACATAAAATCTAGAGAAAATTGTATTCCTAGTTTCTCATACAAATGTAAACCCTGACCTTTGTAACTCATGACTGTGATGTGCACGCCAGCGTTTTTCAGCATTCTAAGTCCCTCTCTTTCACGGCTGTCCTCCAAGTCACAGAAATAAAGCCGGGATACGAAGATCCTGAGGCGGAGGTTGGGGGTCTGGTGGAGGAACTGAGCCAGTCGCAAGGAGCAGTTTGCACAGGGAGACCAGGAGCAAAACCAGGTGACGGAGTAGCTGACTTTTCTCTCACCAGTGACTCCATAACCCCACAGGCCAGGACACAACGCTCCCAGGTGGCGCAGGAACAACAGCTACAAACACAAAGGAATAAGATAAAGATATGATAGGAGCTAAAAGAAACAAAATTCACAATTACTTTAACTCCATCTTGGGCAGTGATCCACACAAGATATTTTCTGTTTTGTCACGTACATTTAATTTTATTATTCTGATGGAGATCCATTCCTACAATTATCATAAACAGCCCAGTAAATAACCTCACACAATCTTTTCAACACCTATTTTAGTTCCATTAAGTTGATTGTAGTTTCTAGGAACTTTTGTTATTCGGGATCTTTTGTAGTCCTGGTGTATAAAAGTAAAGTGACACAACGATCCAATTCTCTTGTCCACTTGGTCAAATGGGAAAGACAAGAGAACATACCATTCAAATTAGGTAGATGTATGTTGTAGGAAAAAACTAAGCAATGTCCTGATGAAAATGTAATAGTAGTAGAGGTGCTATTAGTTCTTTCTTTTGTAATTTTGTTAAAAACAATTTCTTAACATGCTGATAAATGTGCAACCACAAGTTCATAATTCTTCAATCTGTCTCGCACCTGAACGACGTCATCTGATAACTTACCTCCACATGGCAGTTGTTGCGGTTGCGAAGATGTCCAAAGTCAAAGGACAGGGAGTCTGGTCCCACTCGCTTCTTCACCACAAAGCAGAGGTATGTCTCACATCGACCTCTTGCCCAGCGCATGTTCTTGTAATGATAGATGAATTTTTTTCTGGGTAGTAGTGCCCTGTGAAAAATGGGGAAAGATTTAAGCTGATGCAATGTGTGATAAGCTTAATACTGAATAGGCTATCGATACTTTTTCAAAGTATCCAATAAATGACTCATTGTGTGATGGTGTGCAGCTCGTTAGTCATTTACAGATATCCTATTACAGTAAAATCCACCGCCAAATCAGGTCTGGAGCTCAATGAATCACTGAGAGGAGCCGCTGGTTTAAATTTTTATCTTAGAAGTTAGAGTAAGAAAGTCATGTAAAATCTGTGGTTAACTAAATTAGGTGTGATGGGCAGTGGAACAACAGCTAACATTCACTGCCAAAACTTTTTCTCACTCTCAGTTTCACAACTTTTAGTGAAACCAAGACAGTTGTTCAGCAGTTATTAATACTGAAACCCTGATTTTGCTCTATTTAAGAACCATAAATTAGCATCAAAGTGTGGACGTGTAATAGATGTATTTAAAAAGAGAATTAAAACCTCCCGATTTATTTTTTTCCCTTTAACGGTTTGCGTTCTCTAAATAATAAGACAGAGATGAAGATGTAAAGTATTAACATAATTCATCCATTTTGCTCACCTGTCGAGCTTTGTAATCATTTCAAAAGCCGCGCTTCGCCTTGTCACTTGTCAGGCGTGGGTATTAAATGGAGGTAAATGAGAAAGAGTGAAAGTGTGTGTGTGTTTGGGTGTGCAGGCGCTTGTGTGCATGCGTGTGTGTGTGTGTGTGTGTGCGCTGAGGGGGTTAAAAGGAGGGAAATGAGAACCTATACCTCCAAATATAAACATCCGGCATCAAGCAAAGGCAGCTCCTGGTTGGTCAAAGACATTTTTCAAAGTGAGTTTGGGGGGTTGTTATATAGAACAGGTGGTTGGATAACTGTTTTCTTTTGTAAAATATTGAAGCTATAATTTATTTGTAGTTTTAAATATTTTCTTTTAAAATTGCATTTTGGTTTAAATGACATGAGTTCATCAAGTGATTTGAGAAACTTTTACTTTCGCAAATGCTTCCCAATAACATAAAAAAATCATTGAAAAGTACAAATGTTTAGTTACTGTTCACTAGTTATGAGTGGTGGCTCAACTTACCCTTTGATTCAACTTGCCCCAGTTGCCCCTATAGTTAAATTTTTTTCACTGAGATAAATTAACTTTCCATGATGCACCTGCAGCTTAGAGTGCAAAAATTGAATTTCATTTCGGCACTTTGCAGATTTTATTGAATAATCCCGAAGACCACACATGGGAGGAGTGTTTGACGTTTTTTGTAGACTCTGGTTTCTCAAAAACGTCAGAAAATGAGCCAGCTCCCTGAAAACTTTCCAAGCCTTGACCACTGACTTCCACCCTAAGGTTTTCCCAGATCACATAAGGAATAAAAAAAAAACCTTCCTCACCTTGATCTGTAACTTAGCCCTCCTGCCATTAAAATTTTCCACCTAGCTTGCACCCCTCCACCGCCACTTCCTCGGTCGTTCCCAGACAGATCTGGGTTTTCCCAAACTGTGTCAGGCTGAGTAGCAGGGCTTTAATCAGCCTTCCTCACCCTACGTGTCAGCTGGTCATCCATCCAGCTGACCGGCCACAGTTTGCCTTTGAACTTTCAGATGCTTTACCAGCCAGGTGCCAGACTTTGTATTATTTTGCTCTCATGTTTCCTATGCTTCGTCTGCTTTAGCTCCTCAGCTCGGTCCGTTTGCTCAGTGGCACTGCCTGCAGCCATGCTGCTTTCCCATGACTCCCCTTACCCTGTCGTGTACTCTGCGGTTGGGGGAATTCACCGTTTCCCAGGGTGGCTGTTTTTGGAGCTCATCTGTGCGGCCATGTCATTAACACTGTCTGTATGTTATACATCATCTGGAACAAATTTATCCAATTTATCCAACGATTGTGTGGTGCCCCCAAATTTAGAGTGATTCATGCTTGTGCGTCTGTATGCTCTGAGCGACCTCACATCTTATTGCATTACTCTGACAGTGCACGTTTCTTAATGTCTCCGCACATTAAACTTGTGTGCATTGGTCCCTTTTCAACTTCAAGGAGCTCATTTAATGTCAGACTGTATGTAACCACTTCCCACCCAGTTCTCTGGGCTCCACCGCAGTTGACCAAGGTCATCTCTCAGTCATGCACTACTTCCATCCCCTCTCATGCACTTTTTTATTTATTCTTCTTGTTTGTTTGTTTTTTTTCTTTGCAGGGGTGCTCTAGAATGGCTACACATGTAGTCAGAAGGGGAGAAAGCGAGTGTAAGAAATGCCAAGTCACATTTTCCAAAACCCACCCGCCCACACCCTGTACACACACACACACACACACACACACACACACACACACACACACACACACACACACACACACACACACACACACACACACACACACACACACACACACAGCCATACCGTGCAGACGCATATGACCACAGTTACAAACAGACTTTCTTTCCAGTGTGTGAACTCACATCTGTTTCCTGACAACAATAATAGCTACATATCTAGCGGGTAGAGGCCCAGCTTACAGGTGTCTGCAGTTTGACAGTAATGAGGAAATGACCTGATGCTGAACAAAAAGTGTTGAAAATATATATTTTTAAAAGTACTTTTATTTGTAGAAGAAGATACATAGCAGATGAACTTGTTACAATTGCAACTAAAATTGTTCAACTACAAATTTGTCAAAAACTCTAAACTGCTCAGGTATAAATTACATATCAACCATTTAAATAGTAATTATTTTTATTCAAGTCTAAATACTACTTTCAATGCTGCTGACTGAAAACTATTCATACGTCCTGAATAATCAGGAATGGCACAACTAATCCAAGACTTCTTTAGTAACATTTGCTAGATGTTACACTTCAAAATACCTGGAATGTTGTTCATAATGTTTTATTGCATATCAGAAATCTGAAAAGAAAATTGTCTAGGAAGATCACAAAAAGGATTGCACAAAGAAATAAATGGATTCATAAGAATAGCTGAAAGTATTTTGCTAAAGTTTAAAGCTAAAGGAAGAGTCGTTACACCACCTAAACCTGGAAGATGAGAAGCTGCAGCCAGTTTCCTTAGAATTCAGGCAGATCTGAGAAATACCACTGCAGATGAACTGGAAAGTCTGCATCTCTGTGATAAAAAACTTGGAGGCAGAATCCTTCCGTGGAGATGTTTTCCTTTATCTGGGTGAGGGAAGGTGGAAACCTGCTGGAGGATGTGAGACCGAAACAAACAGTCAAATTAATGACGGGATGGGTTATGTACAAGTTTATTTATTTTAAATATCCCTGCATAAAATGGTCAAGTCAAAGTCTTCACTTAAATCCAAACAGGAATCTTTGAAAAGGCTTAAAAATTGCTGTCTACAGACATTCTCCAATCATTCTAAACAAGCATGAACTGTTTTGCAAAGAAGAATAGACACATTTTTCAAGCTTGCCGCTTCGCAGTCATGCACTGTTTGATGTTGGCCTATATTACAAAATAGATGCACTAAAGTTCATGGTTGTAACACATGAAGAAATGGAAAAAATGTTCAAGGGGTATGAATACTTTTGTAAGGCAGATAGTGTATGAATGTTGCAGCTCGTAATTGTTGTAAAGATTAATTCCAAACATTGCAGGTTATAACCCGGTTTCCTTTTTGATTGATTATAATTTACAGTTTAACGTCCAATGCAATAAACTTATATACATAAGGTCTCTGAGTTAGACGTGAGTGTGGTTTGCAGGTGACTGTTAGTTTATGTGAGTGAAAATGCACACAACCCTCCCCCTGCCTGAGGCTAACCTTAATATGGTTAGCAGCCCTCATGTTTTCCTCAATGCTAATCTACCGTCCTCCTAACCACAGACATTGTCAATGCAGCGTCAGTGCGGCACCAGTAAACACCACAGGATGTCTGTACAATGCACATGTGAAGGAGGTATTTGACACCTGGTGTGGAGACAAAAATAGGCTCCAAGGGAAATGCAAACTCATGCATGCTTCGAAATGCTTTAAAATGTGTAAATGAGAAAGATTTGGAAATAATGAATACAGTGTTGAATCTGTAAAGTTGTGCTTCTTTGCAGCTATTTGCATTAAAAAAAGGAACATAAATTTAAGTGGCTCAACTCAATTGGCACAAAAAAGCCACTTTATGAGATTAAAAAGCCACTTTTTAATCTCAAAATTAGTCAAACCTTGCATGACTAGCATCTTTAGTGTTTACTACACCAACCTTTAGCTGTTATGAGCTGCTGCACACCTGCTTCTGGCTGCAATCCTGAGGGATTTTAGCTCATCTAGACGTTTGTTAATATTCTTGGGTTTGTGTGCAACATTTCAAATCCCTTCAGAGATTCTTAATGAACTACGAGTCAGTTGTAATCAATACTATTAGCTAGAACATTTTCTAAAACAAGCTGGTCGGAAACGAAGCGGCCCCACCCAGGGCATCTCTCAGCATCACTGAGTCACCACCATGCGTCACTATAGGTACGATATTCTTTTCCATGCTTCATTCTTCCTTCTCCAGACAAACCATTGATCTGAGAAGTGAAGGTTCAGTTTTATCGCTCCACACACCAGAATCCTCAAACCTCACGGGCCTGTTTTAATAGCCTTGAACAAATTGTAGCTCAATTTTCTGGTTTGTTAACGGTGAGTTGCGGCGCAGATCTTGAAGTTCAGGCTTGGCACATTTCATTTTGTGCTTTACTCTGCAAACCTCAACTCACTGCTTGGTGCATGTTTTTTGTAATCAGTGGAGGCTTTTTGACCACCTGAATTCTAAGGAAACTGGCCGTGGAGATGTTTTCTCAGAGGAAAACATCTCCACGGAAGGATTCTGCCTCCAAGTTTTTTATCACAGAGATGCAGACTTTCCAGTTCATCTGCAGTGGTAGTTTTTCAGAACAAACAGTGTCTGCATCCAGATTAGAAAGTTAAATTTCAGGCTTGTATGACCTGAAAACATTTTTTTTGACCAGATTTGTGGAGGGCATGGCTAGAATAAAGACATAGCACACTTTTTTGTATTTTTAATTGCAAAAATTCTTAAGAGACATGCATCATGTTCCTCTTCCTTCTCAGTTGTGTGCCATCTCTCGAGTTTGTCTGTCACATGAAAAATCCTCATATACCACATAGAAATGTATGACTTTGCTGTGATAAAATATGTAAAAGCTCAAGAGGTGTGAATACGTTCAAAAGGCATCATACAGTTATTGCCTCTGGTTACAAGTGTTGCAACATTTCAATGATATGGTGTATAAACAAAAATAAAAATAAAAAAACGAGATTGTGCTTACTTTAACATGAATATGAAGAAACCTTTGAATACCGCAAACATTTAAGAACTCATAAAAAACCTCTTGATCAATATCTAAAATGTAACAAAATTGCAAGGTTTAAAAAGGAGCATTGATTGTTTCTGCAGAGTCACAATCTGTGTGTGTGAAGGTGAGCAGCAACAGATGAGCGCTGAGATAAAAGCAGATAAATTCTGCACATTCACATAAACCACACACACTTCCTCTACAGTAACTCTACAAACACCTACACGTCTGTATCGCTTCAGACCAGAGCGGACGCCTCCAGTCGTTCAAATGCATCGCGTTGTTGCGTTGCAGTGCTTGACAAAAGAAACGTGTGGATACAAGATAAAGAAACAGACTTGACAGAAATGATTTACTTGATCAAACGAGTGTAAAGTACAGAACAACTCAGACTTTGCAATGTCTTTTTTGCATGAGAAAACCCGACTGCGTCATCAAAATGGAGATGTCACTTAAAATTAAATAGCGCCAATGCACATGATAAATAAATACTTTAATTAATATCGCATAATTCAAGGGTTAACAAGTAAACGTGCCGTTATTCTAATGGCTTTGACTTGATTGTCAATCACAAGTCTTTGTAGAACACCTTAGTGAGAGGATACCCCATAAAACCTCTCTCTGGGGTCTCTTTCTTCATCTCATCGTCATCTTCTTCATCAGTCGCCTCACCCAGCTGCCGATAGCCCACTTTCCTGAAGAAGGCTTCGCCTACTTTGGATGGGTAGGGGATGTGCGCATACACCCTACGTGCGCCGCTCTCCCTCTCCTTCAGCTCCAGACTCTGGACCAGAAGACGACCCAGACCCTCCCTGCGGTACCAACAGCCCGTCACAAGCCTGCAGATCCTCCTCACGCTCGGACGTGTCTCGCTCTCACGGAAGACGCAGCCCACGATATCCCCTTCGCAGTCTGCCACCCACACCTGACCTGCTGCTTGCTCTCTCTCTGCAGTGATCTTCTCTGATGATGTTTCCTTGACTTTGTCTTTAGATCCAATTCTGCGGCGTTGCTGAACAAAAAATGAGGTTTTACATGCGTGCGATGTTCAGATGCAAATGCTAATGACCAGATAGTATCGTATTTTAGAGACAGAAGTCCTTGAAAAACCTGAAAGGATGAAACACAAATCAAGCCTCTGCGATGTTTATCAAAGTGAATGGTCTTTCATATACTAATGACGACATAGCATCCGTTACCTCAAACGGAGAAGACTGTTTTTTTTTTTTCAATAGACCCATAATAAACGGATGTGTGGCCGCTTATCAGTGACACAGCAAAAGCATGTAGTGAACACTTCTTCTACAAAGAGAGTGTACACAGGAAATGTGCGTAAGATTCACTGATTTGTCCTCACTCCCCCAAAAGCAGCTTTTCTGCTTTAAATACTATTTGCCTCACGACCGTGAAACAAATGGAATCTTGGATTAAGGGAAATAATAACCCAAACCTGAGGAAGGAGGTTATTAACAGACAGACCACAAAGGCAACCATAGCTGTTTTTTTGTGCACAAACAGGGATTTTCAGGTAAGTAAATGTTTTTTTTTTTTTTTCGCAGCTGTGTTGTGTTTTAATAGATCCTATGTCAGCACCAGAGATTTATTTTTCCATAGTGTATGAGCCAAATAAAAAAGTGATACTTCATCTCTCATCCAGTTGTCAATGTGCATCATAATCTTGAAAGGACATCCTAGGGACAACTTACTTGTTTTTGTAGGGAAACTTAACTTTGAATGGAGGTACAGAGTGACAGATGACGTCAGAATAAACCTTTGACACTTACATTACTGTGGTGCACCATCCATCAATAAAACAAACTGTGTGTATTAAAGTGAGACTTGCACAACTATTTGCTTGGCTGGCTAATAAAAAGTAGGCTATTTTGCTGGTATGTGGGGGTAATACAGCAATAATTTTAATGTTTTAAATGATAACTTTTGTCATAAGGAGCCATTTATCACACCGGTTTTTATTGATAGACTTGGCGCTCTTAAATGCCTTGTTTGTAGGATCTCCGAGCCATTGCTACCTGAAAACATTTGTCCTTACTCCATCATCCTTACATCATAATATAAATCTTCATTTTATAAACTGAAGTTGGAGCTTTTAGACGATGCAATATTTTTTCTTCTAGGGTGGCCAATTTGTCTTGCGCTCATTTCATCACACAAGTTATTCTCAGCAACAATCACCTTTTTTGCTCCTGGCGTTTTCCCACTGATCCTGCAGTAGGGATTCTGTAACGTCTCATCCTGTTGGCCTCTGTAGCTACTGCCAATATAGTCCCAGTAGGGGCGACTGCTGCCCAGGACCCCCGTTGACCGTGGCATGGTGATCTTCAGAAAGACAATCAGCAGGAACACAGGGATAGCCAGGGCCAGGATGAAGGAGTGAACGAGGCAGCGCAGGATGGAGGAGAAAACGGCCAGGATGAAAAGGCAGAGTGGACGTGTGAGGATGTGTAAGATGAGACGGTTCTCGGTGCCCTCGCAGCCTTCCTGGTAGGAAGAAGATTCAAACTGAAAGAGCGTACAAGACATATACAGGCAGCTTTTAAACGAAAGGAACTCAGCCAACCTTAACAAGGGCTTTCACCACTTCAATGTCGTCCTCCTTCATCCTCCTCATTATCACCTGGTCTAACTCCAGCCTCACCATGTTCAGTGTTTGTGCTTTGACAGGAGGCCCTTGGCACCACTGACTCTACCTGTGGTGTGGTGTGAAGCCCAGCATCCACATGTAAACAGGCAGCCTGCAACACATTTTAGTGAGGAATGCATGACTAAAAAGCACACTCTTGAAGACTGAACTTGTGCTAGTTAGGACATGCATTCAAATCCCAGTTTAGCCTATAACTGATAGGTTGGTAAACACAAACAAACAAACAAACACACACACACACACACACACACACACACACACACACACACACACACACACACACATATATATATATATATATATATATATATATATATATATTCATGTAGTGTTGCGTTTTTGTGCTATAGCATTGCAACCCAGACAGCCTCAAATAAATGAGCCTGCAGAGGATTATGATGGATTAATTTACGTCGCACCGTTATTGCTTCCCTTCGCTTTAGCTTCCCGCAGCTACCATCAGAGCTAAACCGATCTGGTTCAACCCCATATATGGTCATTCCGTAACGCCACAGCAGCCGTTCCCACCGCGGCTCCGCTTACCTTCTGCACGCTGCGGCTCAATCGCAGCTCAGGCGCCGCAAACAAACAACTTAAGAGCTTCTGCTTGTAAACAGTCCGCGCGAATCTTATTGAATGATCACAGTTCCTCTGCGTACGGAAAGAGCGCATTTCTGAATCCGACCTATTTCTGTTTTACGGTCCGTTTTCGAGCGGCGTCTGGGTCGGTTTACGCCGTTTGCGTACGTAGGACCCGCATTGCGCAGACGCTACCGGAATACGCAACTGCGTAGATAGACAACGTCACCTGTTACGCTTAAATGTTTGATGAAGATGACTGAAAATGAGTATTACAAACTCGATTTATTGCTTACATTTTTATGACCATGTGGAACTAAAAGTTTACTAACACTGCAGATTTTACTATACTAACAAAGTGTAATAATTATAATAATAATACAATCCTTGTCATGCAGATTTATGGCTGGCTACTTGTTGCCCTCTACCTGTTGCTGCACACTCCCTGTCAGCCGGCTGAAAGAAGACTGCCACATGTTTTCCTCTCTTACACGAAAGATTGTTTAGTTTAAAAATATTTCCTGTAAAAATACAGATATCAATCAATTAATTTGACTTTGTATGGCTTACAGCTCAGTAAAAAAAGTTTCTCAGACATAATGATGTACCACACAATAATGGGAAGCCTGCTGTCACAGACAAATTCTCACAAGGATGGTAAGTCACACAATGTCACTGCTCAAGAAGTGGGCTGCATCCAAACATTTCAACGGAAAGTTGAGTGGAGGGAAAACTCGTGGCAGCAAAATGTCCAATTGCGGATCAGACTGCAGCTTCACATCACCACTGACAAACATATCCAGGATCTGTGCCAGAGCGGTCACATTGCTTGTGTCATTCTTTAAACCCCACTCCCAAAGCAGACATTCAGAAGCTTCTTACCTCAGGAGCTCAGGAGGACTCAACTGCTGCTGAGTAATTTTAGATGAAAGTAAATTTTTAAAATCACGTCTGAAAACCAAGGTTCCAGAGTCTGGAGGAAGAGTGTCATCCTTCCCAGCTGGCTGATATCTTAATATATATATATATATATAAAAAAAGGTTTTATTTAGATTCTAATTTTCTGAAAATAGAATTTTGAATTTTTGTTAGCTGTAATCAATAATAATAATCAAAATTAACAGAAATAAATATAACACCATATAGTAAATGTACATTTTTCAAATCTAGCAATGTTTTAACATTTTGAAAAATGTGACCATGAAAATCTCTGCAACTTGATCTTGCTGTATTTTTTTTTTTTTTTTACTTCTTTAATAGTTCACATGTCCACATTAAGAGGTTTGCATTTATAAAAAAAATGTTTGGGTACATTTGTATAAGCAGAGACAATACATACAAGAATAAATAGTAGAAGCTTTTCAAAGTTGCATTCTTTTACCTTTTTGCTTGAGCGAACAATATAAAACATCATGTTATGATCATCAAGGTCAGCAGCATCTCAACATGTTCATATGTTTGGTTTCTTGAGCTGTTTCAAATTATAGGGGTGATACGATATGATCTTTGGCTGCACTATTCACTTTTCTCGTTGTAAATCACATGAAAATTTCATGGAAAAATATTTATTTAAAAAAAGCGTGTTGTCAGTAGAAAAAACAAGAAGGGATTAATAAAGATATTGAGGAAATAGATTGTGATCCTGATTTAATAGTACTGTAACTCCAGTCAGAACTAACTAAAAAAGCCATTTATTATTTTCAGGTTTTACACCAAATGGAAAACAATGTTGCATTCAAAAGCCAGTGGGAATTTTGAATTTCTGAGTTGTAGTAATATAAAATCCCAAAACTCTAGCGATATCGTCTACTTTTCATTCCTCTCCTCCACATTTCATTTCGACATTCACAGTCAACACAATGGCCTTTTTCTGCTGCTCAATAACCCAAACAGTAAAATATATTAACAAATTTATTAATTACTTACTATTTGCTATCAACACTGTGAAGAAAGTGTCCCATATACAACACTTAACAAAAATCAGACATACTTCATCAAACTGCCTGTGACAGTATCATTTAACTAATGTGTTTATGAATAATACAAAGTCCATGTTTTAGCCTATTTGAATGTATAACATTTCTAGAAAGTGGCACCATGGCATTACAACACAACACTCCTCTAACTGCATGTTCACTCTCAGTTCCAGGAGAACTCAAATGACTAAAGTGCTACCAAACATCTCACAAAGCGAGTCATTCCCCTTCCCACTGACCCGGTTCTCACTCGGAGAACTTCAGCTCCTCAGAGTTTGATATAGTGCTGTTTTTTCTCGAGTCTTCGGCTGATGTTTCTGCCGAGCCGTGATCTATTGCTGACTTTTCCGTTGTTGCGCTCTCAAGTTTCACATGGCTGCTGGGTGAGATCTCCTCCTCCTGCTCCTCGCCTCTCAGCTGGCTGGTGCTGACCTCGATTATGACGATTTCGTCTCCGTGTTCCAGCTGGAAGATGCTTTTCACGCCTCCCTCGTCCTCTGCCAGGGTGTCGGCTTCCGTGTTGCAGCCCGCCCCGTCTCCTCCAATCATTTCCCCCTCGCCTTCAATTAGCGCGATCATCTGCACGCCCCGCTCGCCCTCCGGCTCCATCTGGTCAAACACCACCTCCTGTCCGCTGATGGGGACGAATGCTTGGGTGGGTGCACAGGACAGCTCAACGCTGCTGTCTTGTCCTTGACCAAACGTAGAACTGGATGACGAACTCTGCTGAGCTTCGGTGTGGAAATGAAGGACGTACGACTCCCCTTGGCTTTCTTCCCCAACTGTCTGACTCCCACCCTGCTTCCCCTCACCCCATTCCTGCAGAAGTGACATCACCCCCTGTTTACTCCCTCCATTTTCCCCATGATCTTGTCCACCTGACTCAAATTGTAACACAATGGACTTGCTGTCTCCATCGATTCCTTCCTGATCTGCCTCCCCAGATGGATTCCCTTCAAACTGCAACACGTACGGGTCACCACCTTCCTCAATGTTCGCTCCCTGTTTCTGTTGCTCCGCGTTTTCGAAGCACAAAACAAACTGTTTCTCTTTTCCCTCTTTTCTAATTTGCTCCAAAGACGAATGAGGTGTATCCTCTGGTGTAACAGGAAGTGATCCTGTGGTTTCTGCAATGGCCTCTTTGGAGGCTACAGTCATGGAGGCTGTACGCTTTTGGCAGGACAGATCTGAGTCTGTGTTAGTGTTATTAACAGCAACCATCTTAGTACTGCTTACAGTGTTACAGTTTGCCACTGGGACAGCGCCACCTGCAGTCGGAGCGGTTTTCTGCAGAGCGGCTTTAGGCTTGCGGCCGCGCCGGCCTCGTACCGTCCGTGTGCTCTTCCCCAAAATGGGCTTGGTCAGCAGGGCCGCGAGGCCGTGGTTTGCCGTGGCAACCGGGGCTTGCGCAGTGTTGGCAATGATGATCTTGGTGTGCTGCTGTTGCTGGGATACGATTGGAAACTGGGCTATGTGGGTCTGCGATTGGTTGAGGACAGGTTGGAATGCTTGTATGGTCTGAAGGATGGGAAGGGACTGAGGCTCTGGAGCTGGTGGGGGGTTGTTCGCCGTAGGGACCAGAATCAACCTGGACTGGCTGCCATTTGTGGAGGGACACTGAATGAGGAGAAAGTTCTGTGACTGGGATGGAGGTGGAGGTGGGGGAGGTGGAGGGGCAGGAGCAGGCGGTGACAGGGGGATGAGCTGCAGGCCATTCGCCGTCTGAATCATGAAGTAGTTCTGGGATGTGTTAGGGGGAATATTGAGTGCCGGCTGGGACACGATCAGGCTGCCGTTGTTTCCCGAGGTTTCCAAGGTGATGGGATTGAGTAGGGTTGTGGTGGTTGTGACTCCGCCCACGCTGGCCTTCACAGCCACGCCGTCCTTACCGCCGCTGCCAGGGCCAGGGAGGGAAACACCGTTCCCGTGGGTCCGGATGTGTCGCTGCAAATAGGAGTGCATGACAAACCCTTTGGTGCAGAACGGGCATTTGTAGTCCTTGCTTGTAGAGTGTGTGCGAAGGTGGAGCTGAAGATTGGAGGAGTGCGTAAAGCTTTTACTGCAGTGTGTGCATTGGAACGGTCTCTCGCCAGAGTGCGTTCTTTCATGCTGCTCCCCCAGGAGTAAAAGGGAAATCAAAGACATGAGGATCAGTGAAGACATTTGGCTTCAATAACTGAGTGCTTCTCAGAACTTGCACATTTTGTCACGTTACAACCACAGATTTTAACGGAATTTATTGAGGTTTTATTTGTCAAACCGACACAAAGAAGTGAACAATGTTGAAGTGGAACAAATAGGACATGTAGATGTCAAAGTTTTCTACAGATAAAACTGTGAAAAGTGTGCAAAAAACATAAGTAGGCCTTTTTACTTTGACACCCCTAAATAAAATCCAGAGTAATCAATTATCTTCACAAGTCACCCAATTGATAAAAAACAGGTCAAAAATGTTGTTAGATAAGTACCAAATGTAACTTTCTGGCCAACCTGCAACTTGCTATTTAAGATGTCAGTTTCTAAATGAGTAAAGCTGGTAGAAATACACTCCAAAAGCAAATCATTTTGAAACCAGTTTAGCTGTTTTCTTCCATTTCACAACCATTTCACAACTACAACTATATTTGTACACGGTGTGTACAAATATGATTTTTAAGGATTCAGTTTAGTACTTCCTACCATCAGGGAGAGAACTAAACCATGCAGTTTCTTCTTGAGCAACTTTTGATGTCCAATTAACCCCATCTTTTGATGCATTTCTTACATTGCATAAAAAAGGTTTAATAACATGGTCATTTTTTAAACCCAATTCACTGTCAGAATGATCTACAGTATGAATGATTACAAAAGTAATTGCTATGGACAACTTGCTTTAAGCCGCTAGCTTCCTTCAGAACACAAATATAGGCAATAATTGTGTATAATTTACTAAAATCCAATCAGCATCCAAGTTTGTAGAGTGTAGAGTTGAAAAAGAAGCACAAACACTTAAGGTGCTCACTAACAGTAGGCCAGTGTTTATCTGCTACTTTGTGTTGGTCTGTTACATAAACATTCCTAAATTACATTGAAGTTTGGGGTTGTAACATGGCAATATGTGAAAAGGTTCAATGCGTTTGCATGGCCTGGCTGAACTGACCTGTTTGAGATTAGACGTCTGGGAGAAAGACTTGGAGCAGATGGAGCAGGTATGAGGTCGAAGCCCAGAGTGCATCTGACTGTGTCTTCGCAGGCAGCTGGTGTTCTTGAACGACTTGCCGCACTCTTTGCAGACGTACGGTCTCTCCCCGGTGTGCTGCCGCAGGTGGTACTGGTAATGGGAGCTCCATTTGAAGGTGAGAGGGCAATGGGGGCACTGGAAAGCCCGAACTCCTGTGTGTACCTGGGAAAGAACAAATAGAGAAAAGGTTTTTGACATTTGAACTTCTGTGCTATTAAAAATTAGATTCAGTGTTAGATAAGGTCTAGTTTACACACGTATCCGATCAGAAACAAACCATTTGATTTTTCAGACATTTTGATATTCTGTGTGAATGTTAGGATAATGGGATCTTTGAATTAATACAATAGAGGCCGATAAATAAAACTGATTGGACAATAAAGGTGATTTTGCTTTTTTCTAGAAGACAAATGGATTCATAATAAAGGGATATGATCCCTATATGTCTGGTGTTGAACCAAATTAAGATTAACTCATACAAATGTTTTTTTGAAGCAAATTTAAACGGGTCCTCTTTAAACAAAATTTGAGCAATTCTCAACATAGGCACTTGTTAAAAAAAAAAGCAAAACTAACGATTAGCATGAAAAGCCTGGTACTGACAAAATTATTACCATTTCTGAGTTATGATGCTGCATAGTGGAAAAACTAGGACTGTAAGGATTACGCCTCCCAGTAAAAATAGTTTAAAAATAGTTTATTCCACATAGAACAAAGAAAGATGTCAGAACCTTTCATTTGAGAATAAAACTGTTTATCTTGAATGAAATGCTCTAAATCTTTGCAAAATTAAGAAAGGAAAAGTAGTTTATATCCTAATGACAAACTGAAGGAGTTAAATAAAAAATAATTGCTTAAATCATTCTTCTCTAGAAATCCTAGCCAAATGGAAAATACAGAAAATACCAGAACTAGTCTTTTTTGTCGATATATTGAAATATATTTTTAGATACTTTATTATTTTTGGCCAGAGTTTTGAAGAGCCACGAGGGGCTGCAGGTTGCAGACCCCTGGTTTAGGGGAAGCCTTACTCGTTGATGGATCGAGAGCAGAGACGACCTCTTGAAACTTTTTCCACACTCGGTGCAGCGATACGGCCTTTCGCCAGTGTGATCCCGCATGTGGTACTTCAGCCCTGAGGAACCCTTAAAGGCTTTTCCACACTCCAAACAGCGGTACGGCCTCTCTGTACAAAAGCAAAATCAGAAAAGATGTTCAGGGTCACTGAGTTCAAAGTGACCTCAAGATCCAATCTAGAAAATGAGAGCTCTCAGAAACTATCAAATACCAACTAGATTGCGGACGGATCGCATACAGTCATTATTTCAGTACAGTTTGCTCTTATTCTCCAAGATCGGAGACTGGAGACAGGGACAGATGGTGGTTTCAGGTGTACCAATGTTGGAAGTGGTTATGTTTGTAAAACTGCTCAATTTTTCTATTATGTTGCAGAAAGTGCCCTTGTACAACACTTGTACATGTTAGGGAATGTATTTACCTCCAGCAGGAGTGTTCTTGCCAGATCCGGCCCTTTTTGGGGCTTTAGTTGGTTTGGGCGGGTGCTCCTCTTGCTCCTCGCCGACGGCGATGATGTCGACATGGATCTCTCTCTGGCCCTCCAGCTGCTTGTCGGCCTGGCTGGGGGAGGAGGGGAGGGGCAGAGACAGAGAAAGGGACGGCGGACACACTATCTCGGCCTCCGCCTCGGCCAGCAGGCGCTGCTCCGGGGTGTGGGAGTGCTGGTGGGTGAGGAGTGACGAGAGCAGAGGGAAAGAGCGGTCACAGGCGGAGCAGCTGAACTGGGAGCGTGACTGCGATGAAAGCGAGTGCATCTGGGGGAACGAGAGGGAAACGCAGCAGATAAAAGTTTATTTCAAGACAGATAAATGTTAGTGTTGGGCTCTGACCAACTGCTTTCACAGCAACGGCTTCAACCGTCATTCTCACCAGTGACACATGTCTATTGAGGCCTGCGCTGGTCTTGAAGGTCTTAGTGCAGTAGCCACATGACAGCCCTGCCCATGTGGTTCTGGCCTCCGGCTGCACGGCCTCGGCGCTCTGAGTCACCTCGGTGAAGCTCTGCAGCAGGTCAAACTGGGCCTGGGTGGCGCCCACATTCTGAGGATAGACCAAAGGAAATTACACAAAGCAACGCATATCAAAACACAAATCCTCAACCCAAATTCAACAACTGAAGTTTTATGGACCTTACGTAACAACAGTTTAGTGTATGGTATTTAAAACTGATTACAAATAAAACTCTGACAAGTGCGGCATGCTTCTGTATTCGCTTTATCAGTAAAGAAAAAAAAAAAACCTCATTTGAGCCCTACTTGTTTTTTTTTTCAAATAGTGACAGGTAAATCTGAAGGCCATCTTTCATTTTGACAGATTACAATTCACAACTGCAACCACTTGGTGCAGACATTTTCAAATGCATGCACACTGTAAATTGCGAAAGTGACGACATCAATAAATAAAAAAATCTTTACACCTGGGTATCCTCTCTGACCTGGACTCTGAACTAAATGCATATCACAACCTGGGAGCTAACAGCACATTGAAGTGTTACGAACACAACGCTTTGTCTGGTGCAAGACTGCACCAGACGGGATTTCCTCCTGCTGCCTTGGGTTCAGAGTCTTGCCAACTACTGATCACTTCAAATGGAAAAATGTTCCCTTATTTCCAAACTTTGCTTAAGTGGAGCTTATAATTCCAGTTTATATTTTGGCTCAGATATCAAATTCAACCTGCAGCTCTATACACTAAAACATTTAATTATGCACAAGTGGCACACATTTTATTTTTGTTTTCATAATTTAAGTGCAATCGTTTCACTTCGTTGTTAATGTGAAGCACAGTCAGTGGTTTTTGTAATGGTAGAGACAAAGTTTAATGCATTTATCTATTTGGTATTTGTTCAACATTAGCTAAACCAAATCAAAATGAAATGCAACTGAATATATCATTGTAGTTTCAGAATTTCTGGATAAAAATAGATTAAAAGGAGACTTTTGGATCCTGTCAAACAAAATGACACATCTAGAAAATTCTCTAGATTTGCCATTGGATCATAACTCCTTTTTGACCTTTGTGCAAAGTGATCTGTGTGGAGTCAAAACTAAAACAACAAACTAAAACTATAAAGCATATTTTTGAGGTTTTTTTGTAAACTAACACTGAAAACCATTTTGTCTGAACTACTCTGTTTCAGTCTATAAAATCCCGATGTAATGGATTCATGTACATGAAGATGTTGTCTCTTCAGTATCTCAATGTGCCTTGTAGAATGGAAGAAGTTGTTTCACTTACAGCATTACTGCCATCTACACCCTCTGCTAAATCAAGGAGCACCTCGGTTGTATGTCCGCTTTCGGCCACAGTGGTGGTCTCCACCACCTCTTCAAAGTCAGCCAGCAGGTGTCCGGCTCCCACCAGTCCATCTCCAACCTCCATCCCTGCTCCATGCCCCTCTTCGCCACTGGCGTCATGTTCGCCACTAGCCATGTGGATGGCCTGGTGCTGCTCCAGCTCTGTCCTTGTGCCAAACGTGTGGTTGCAGCTGCCGCAGCTGTACAGCAGCATGCTAGCCCCGGTGTCGGTGCTCAGGTGGACCTCTGTCCCAATGGCCCTGGATGTGCACACGTCCTCCCTGGAAGGAGCGAGGGTCATTTGGGGAAGAAGGCTTGTGCTCTGACCAGAGGAAGTGGTTGACAGGAACACTTCTTCCATCCCCACTCCAACTCCGTCGGTTCCTTCCTGGCTCACAAATCCCACCATATCTGTCAACATGGTTGACGTCACTTCCTCTGTCCCAACCACCACCTCCACTACCTCATTCCCCTTCTGCCCGTCCTCTCCCCGCTTCCCCTGCTTGACTCCTGCGTTGGGGTTGGAGTGAGAGTTCTTGTGCAAAGCCAGGTTTGATGAGTGCGTGAAGCTTCGACCGCACTCGCTGCAGACATATGGTCTCTCGCCTGTGTGTATCCTCATGTGCTGCCGCAGGTTTGTGGACTGAGTGAAAGACTTGTTACACACAGAGCATGTGTAAGGCTTGAGGCCAAGATGGACGTTCTTGTGCCGCCGCAGGCTGCTTGAGTTTTTAAACGCTTTGGAACAAGAGTCACATGGGTACGGGCATTCCCCCGTGTGCTGCCGCAGATGATACTGGTAGTGAGAACTCCATTTGAAAGTTAGGGGGCAATAAGGGCACAAGAAGGCCCGGACTCCAGTGTGAATACTTCGATGAACCTGTGAGTCGACAGACAAACATAGGGAAAGTTTGCACTCATTATCGCTCCTTAAAATCCTTGATTTAAAACAATATGTCACCTGGAGAAGAGATGAGCGTTTGAAGGCTTTGCCACAGTCTTCACATTTATAAGGTTTCTCTCCTGAGTGAGACCTGGAAAATAAGTGCAATTGTTTAGGAGAACAGTACAGATAATCATAAACATCAATTAAAATCATGGAAGACAAAAAAAACCATAACTTTGTCATAGTAGAATAGTAGATCAGTAAATAAAAAAATAAATAGGAATCTGTAGGAAAGTGCACCATGCATATGTATTGAGTTTCTTTTACTCCATTATTAAATTAAATTCAGTGCAATGAACTTCTACCACATAGCAACATGTGGACGAAAAGTGTTCCAGTCAGAACAAAATGTAAAAGGCTACAATTGTTAGAATGGCCCAATTAAAGTCCAGACCTAAAGTCAATTCAAGATCTGTGGGTCGACTTCTAACATTTTAGTTCACAGATGCTCTCTGACTCGTCTAAGCTGACTCGTCTCCCTTTCACAAAGAAAGGGAGAATTTTTAGGCAGACATCCTTAAAAAAAAGAGTGGTTCAATGAAGTATTGATGCAGGAGGGCCAGACACAAATGCACTTCACACTTTCCAGATTCCTTTCATGGTTATGTTTCATTTTGTTAATATAACACATGAAATCTCAATTAAACTACACTGATGTTTGCAGTAGTAATAAGTTGTGAAGCAGCTCAAGGCGTATAAATGCTTTTTCAAACATACTATAAATGGTGGAGAAATGTGGACGTTAACAAGACGTGCATGAACAATGTGCTTTAAATCACTGTAGCAGTCTTTTAGTGTCTTTATAGATAAGTTTTAACACGGGTACCGCTGGTGGTAGAGCAGAGCAGAGGAGCCCTTGAAGGCCTTGGGGCAGAGGTTGCAGCGGTAGGGTCTTTCGTTGTTATGGCTGCGCTGATGGTGGGTCAGCCTGGATGACCACCTGAAGCTCTTCCCGCAGTCCAGACACTGAAAAGGATGCTCTGACTGCTCAGCCTGCTGAGCTGAAGCCGACTCTGATACGGACGACGTGACAACGTCCAGGACCACCTCCTCTCCACCTTCCACTACCCCCTTGTCTCCATCCAAGAGCTGCCCCCGCTCCCTGTCTTCTGCCCCATCCTCTCCTGATCCCAGCAGGGACGGGAAGGCGGAGAGGGAGGGTGCGGACTGGGCTGGCAGGAGCTCTGCTTGGACAACTAAGGCAACAGAGTTGGCCATGAGCAGATCAAGCTGGTGATACACAGACGATGGTGAAACTTGGAAGTAGGTGGGAATCAAGTTGGGCGCAGGGTCATGGCTTCATTGTCATTTGTTAAAGCTCTATTTTAGCAACAGGAAGCTGTCGTTGTCATGGAAACCGTTTTCTCTGGGACAGGTGCTCTGTGATGTCACTCCGTAACTCCCGGTTTGAATTGTTCGGCTCCCAGCGCCACTCCTCCCCTCTGTGGCCGGAGATGTTCCTCCCTCCGCCGGCCGCCAGCTCCGTGGTCCGTCCCTGCTGTTCGGCTCCTCTGAGGCCAGCTTTAGATCAACAAAACGACACCACTTGGTTATAAAAGGAAGTAAACAAACACCTGCCACAGCTGCTGGTCAACGCGTACGTACAGAAATCGTTTTGCCAGAATCACAACAGCAGTGAGTGGCCTGCTTTTTTTTTAAGCTAATCAGGCTCTCCGTGAAGAAAAATAAAATAACAATAACGTGCTGCTTTCTAAGGACAGCAGAACGGACTAAATCGGCACTTACCGCGCCGCTTTAACTTATCTTGCAGGTAAAATGTAGATGTTATGGCTATAAACTGGGAACTGCAGTGCTAATCCACACAACCTTAACAATAAACACAGCGCAAACTAACAGCAATCCTCCACCCGACGCCGCCTTCCAACAAGGCGCGCGGTGATTGGCTCCCTCGCTGAAAAGATTAGCGATTACCATTGGCCAGGAGCTCGAGCATAAAATATAAGCAATGTTTGGCATCAGAGGAATTATTCAGACCACCCAAAATTGTGCGGGAAACCCATTTAAAATACTTATATGTTTTGCGTATGATGTCTCAAAAAATATTCAGAAGGTTTTGCTTGTCCACAACCCATACGTTTACTTACCTTCTCGCCGCGGAGACTTCTGGGTAATGTAGTTCGGCTCAATCTCATTTAATGTCAATCTACTTCACTCAACCTGTGGAGGTTTGTATAAAATTATTCAGCAGGATTTAGAAATAATGCGTGAAAATATGGCACAAATACATACAGATGCATCAAAAGAGGAAAATGGTGAAACAGGTGTAGCAGTTTATATTCTGAAACAAAACTTATCTGTTCTTCTTTTAAAAAAAAGAAGAACAGATAATTTATCATTTTTTTCAGCAGAGATGTTGGCAATTATTTTGGCATTGCACAGGGTGCTGGAGGTGAAGCCCAGTAAGGTAATTACCTGTTCAGATTCAATGTCTTGAATAACCAGTATTATAAATGAAAAATCTGAAAGCCGCCAAGATCTTTTAGATTAAGTCTGTTAATTGATATATGGTTTAAATAGTGGTTGAAAAACATCCATCAAGTGATTGTTCTTATTGCAGGGAAACAGAAGGAGTAGATCATGTGTTGCTTTATTGTAGAAAATATTTAAAAGAGAGAACAGAGTTGGAAAGGATAATGGGAAGTGCAGAAACCATTCCCTAATTTATCACGGAAGCATCAATCACAAGATATAATATTTAAAAAATACAAAATTAGCTGAGAGTATTCAGTATGTATGTATGTGTGAGTGTATATATATATATATATAGACACTTAAACATATTTTTTTATATGTATCAAATCAAAAATCAAATTTTATTTGTATGGCACATTTCAACAACAAGTGCTTTACATCATAAAAACACAAAAATCAACAACTGAAACGTTACATCTTTCCAAGTGCGTCAGCTACACATCAAAATGTTGGTTAGTGTTTCATTAATTGTGATACAAAAGCAACTCTAAGCAGGTGTGTTTGTGTGCATGCATGCCAAGTATGTTTGTGTGTGTGTGTGTGTGTGTGTGTGTGTGTGTGTGTGTGTGTGTGTGTGTGTGTGTACACACACATGCAACATCTCCACATTTTCCACATTTTGTTATTTTACAACCTTATTCCAAATTGTTTAAAATGAATGTGTTCTTATATTTAAAGTAGAAAAACCTCAGACTGGGGTGATGGCTGAATTTTCAGCAGGACAACAACCCAAAAGACATGGTTCGGATCTGAGCGGAGTGGCTGCAGAACAACTCTGAATATCGAGTGGTCAAGTTAGAGTCCAGATTTGAATCCTATTGTCCATTTTCCATTGCATAGAAATATAATTTTAGAAATACATTTTTTTGTTATATGTTGTGTCATGATTTGTTGAGTCAAAGCAGGCCATGCAAACCCAAAGATGTAGTCAAAGCCACTGTACACATTCTTTAGCATTTATTTCACCAAGGCACGTTTCACATTGAGGCCAATCAGTGTGTGTAGGAGGCATCTGGATAAGACAGAAATAACTTAAACGAGATGGTACAATAAAAGCAAATAAGATTAAAAACTGTATAAAAGTACAAAAAGGAAAGGAGACTTGCTCCACTGCAGCACAAAATAAATAGTTCCACCAAGTCACTTAAATAAATAGTCAATACTGTAACAAATACTAGAATAGGAATGAATAAAAATTGTGATAAAACCGGTAATCTACATTTTCTTATCGAAAACATTATACACATAGCACTTGTATACAACAATTTACATTCTTGTACATTTATGTACACCTGTACAGAACTTAGTGTCACAATACATAGTATTTTAAGGCTTTGGGTGTTTAACCAAAAAATATATAAATTTTTCTCGCCCAAAGCACAAATTCAAAATCAGCCGTCTCATTCATCCAAGAGGCCGATCCCAACAAGTTTGTGCAAAGACTTTAATCAGGATCATCAGTGCTCAGCAAGAAGGCACATTCAAATGACTTTACCACAATGTTAAATACACGCGCCTCCTTGTGTAGTACATGACGAGTCAGAATTGCAAAACAGAAGCTCTGTCTCGGGTTCAAAGCAATGGTTTGCCTCTCTTTGGTTACCGGCTGGACATTTTAAAAATAGATGCAAAAAACTTGATAAGGCATTGGTTGGTGAGTTATTGTGTGGTATATTTGCCATCATGTGGGGACAACATTATCATTTGCACAAATGTTTACTTTAATGCCACTGTAAGGGAGAAGTTTCTCGAATGCTACATCTACTGGAAGCATGGTTGGCTGAAGGAATGCACAATTAAAATGAAAAATTTTATAAGTTTAAACAAAAGAGAATGTAGAAGCTGCAGGTTGAAAAAGTGCTATTGGGTTTTTTGTTTTTTTCTTTCTTTTTTAATTTTTTTGTTTGAGAAAAAGAGAAGCTAGTTTAATGCAGGAGAGACTACAAAAATATTGGCAAATAAATTCACGTTAGTAAGGAGATACAGGCTAGAGAGACACAATACAACTTCAAATAAATATAAAAATAAATAAATTATTAACAGTTAATAAATAAATAAATACATAAATAACGATGGTCACAAAGTGACGCCATAAGAAGGGGAACTGGAGAATCTTGAAGTGATTGCTGTGGTGTGACAGTTTTAACGGGGTTCTTGATGGTCGTGCTGCAGTGAGGCCGCGTCCTTATCGACTCTCGTTCTTCAACACACACACGGCACTGATGTTGTCACCTGGGCCTCTTTTGCACACTGACATGGTCCTGTTTGCAGGTTGGTTGAGGATGAAATCCTCGTGCTGGTTCTGCAGCCGTCTGCTGCGTGGGTCATCATTGCACCGCTGAAGCCTTGGGCTTGAGGCTGAGGAATGCTCTGTATGCCCAGTCGCAGAAGAGCTTGAAGTGTTGGAGGAGCTCATGGCTGGACTGCAGGACATCGAAGTGGTAGGGGAGGTGAGGCGGGAGGGAGGGTGTTGGGTTTGTCAGCTTTGGTGCTTCAATTCTCTGCATCTGCATAGGGAAAGGTAAGAAGACATAATGAGAAAAAGGTGTCTTGTAGTTCTGTTATTCTTGGTAAATATATTTGTAATGGGACTGGGAGCATGAAATGTAAAGTTTGCTACACAATGTTTGGGGACGTCAGTGAAATATTGGACCAAAGATCTGATCTTTAAATGTCAGAACATGTAAAGACCAGAGGTCATTTATCTTTATAATTAGATTAGGTGAATTACCATAGCAATAGTGAAGTTTGATGGTGGGATGTCATGGTGTGGGGCTGACTTTTAGTACATTATTCTGGCAGAGTTCATTTAATCACACAAAGGATGAATTAAGAAATGTACGAGATGTTTTTGAAAACGAAACTAGAAGGGATTGTGCAGAAGAACAATGATCCCATACGGAGTCAAAGAAACTCTCATTTGGTTTCTGAGAAAGCAAGCAACGCTGCAAGAATGATCAAATAGAAAATCGATGGAAAGAATTGAACATCAGAGCACAGGAAGCTCAGTTGTGTGGAAGAAAACATATGTTCTGTCATTACAAAAAAAAACCCTGTTCTACTAAGCCTTTAATACAATTTCATTAAAATATTTAATACTTTCCAGTTTTATTCTTTTTTGGCAAATAAGTTATGTTATCAATGTATTTGTGTTAATCACTTGGGTTTATTTCAAACATTTGAATTTTGCCCCAACAGTCTGCTGAGAGGTCTATTTGAAAATGAACCTAGATAGACCTCTAAGTAGGTCTATCTAGTTTAAATAGACCTGCTTCTGAACAGGTCTGTCTAAACTAGATATATATTGGTAGATAACACACCAATATCTATCACATTTGTTTGTGTTTGAAAAAATGTTCTCCCTATTGTAAGCGTCAATACCAAAAGTATATGATTAGTTTTAGACACAATGTGTTTACCTGACGGTGCAGCAGATTGATGAGGGATTTCATTTCTTTGATCATCTCCACTAGCTTGGGCACAGCCGGGTGTTGGTGCTTCTTTGAAACCCGGTTGAGCCACTCAAAGTGGTGTTCATAGAGCTTCAGGTCGGCATGGAGCTGAGAGAGTGTGGGCTTCAGCTGGAAAAGACAAAAGAGGCCCACTTTAGAGTCGTCGCACAGGCATGGCAAGATGTCACTGGCAGAGTTAGGCCACGCCCTCTCTCTCTCTTTTTCTACACAGACATGCATGCAAGCACATTATTAGAGAATTACCTCAAGATTACTGAGGTCATTGGCTGATCTGTTGCTCATTTCGGGCAGAGATCTGAACCTGTGCGACTCCACGTCTGAGTCAAACGCATGCTCCTTCTGAAAGACAAAATAAGACACAGAGCAGCCTGTGAGTAATCAGTGCAATTTAATCCATAATGACACAAGACAGGGCAACATAAGGAAAGCATTATTCTGGATCCCCTGCTGCATCTCTGCTTTCTGGTGGTTGTTGCTCGCGCTGAGGGGTCAAAGAGGTCAATGCGAGTTCACACACTTTCAGCCACCAAAAATGTCAACACCAGCAAATGACCTGAACCCACAGGATGTTTTTCGGTTGGAGCGAGGATAACAACGCAATGTGGTGACTAAGAAAGCTCAGAGTCGGATAGACAACACAGGCCTGTAGGGAAACTCCCGGGTGACGGCTATAAAAAGATGGAATGACGCAGTGCTGCTTGATGTCCAGTTACAGTTGTGTTGAAAACTTTTGCTCAGACAACAGATGCTGTGCTGATTGTGGCCAGCAGAGGGCGATAAGCTACCTGCCAGCAGGTATTTCGGATCCTCATCAGGAGAGCGTTTTTAGCATTCAAAGATGCAGCCCTGGATTCAAAACTCTGGGTGATGTGGCATGAGTCATTTTCTAATCAGCAAGGGAAC